GTTACTTGTGCAGTACATCAGGCATGGGGCTGGTACTTGGAGGACGCGACAGAGTTGTCCTCACTGGTCACTCGGACGCTTCTTGGGTGGACGACCTGGCTACGCAGCGGTCGTCACAGGGTTACACCTTCAGCCTTGGCTCTGGTTCTGTCTCGTGGCGGTCCACCCGCTCTTCCTCTGTTCTCGGCTCTAGTTGTGAGGCTGAGATCTACGCCACAGCCATGGCTGCACAGGAGTTACGCTGGCTCACCTACCTGCTGACTGACTTGGGAGAGCGGCCTAGTTCTCCTCCAGTTCTGTACGGTGACAACAAGGCGGCTCTTGCCTTGTGTCAGGAGCACAGACTGGAGCACAGGATGAAGCACATTGCTCTTCGCTACTTTCTTGCTCGAGAGCTTCAGCAGCGCGGTCAGCTTCGGCTTGTGTACGTGGACTCGAAGGCCAACACTGCTGATATCTTCACCAAGGCGCTCCCGCCTAGTGATCATCAGCGGCACTGTACTTCTTTAGGCCTTGTGTCCACGTTTCCTCACTTGCTCACTGCTTGACATTCTTTGTACTGTACTTTATATATATCTTGTTGCTTGCTTGCTAGGTTTTGATCACTGTGTTGCTTGTCTTGTACTATATCTAGCACTGCATGTGAACTGGCCTTGTGGCCTTTACTTGTGCTCGGAGTGTGGTGACGTTGTGATCCACCCTGGGCTTTGCTTTGCTTTGCTGGACTGGTCTTGTGACCCTTTGTTCTCCCCCACTTTGCCTATGGGAGTGTGTCAAACTGTATTATGCTTGTAGGCTGTAGTGGGGTAGCCAATATGGGGTATAACCCCAACTAGGGTTTCATATTTGTACCCAAAACTTCTGCTAGTTCATCCATTCTTGCCTAGTTCTCTTGACATCAACTACTGCCAGAGCGCCACACGCATGGCGGTGGAGAGGTGCATCGGCGCCTTCAAAGGGAGATGGCGCATCTTCGGCGGGTGCAACGACTGCAGGTTGTGGCGCATTCTCGCAGGGGTCGCGTGTTGTGTGATCCTGGACAACATGTGTGAAGAGATGACAGACGTCAGGTGTAAGAACATGGCCTGGTACAACCTGCCCCGCAACCGCGACCCTTGGTGGACGCGGGGTGCCATTGCGACACACAAGTGGGAACCGTGTGTTCCCCCAACATAACAGGCACTGAGAGAGAGGCGGAAAAGACTGGGTGAGGCCTTACAGGACTCTTACGCTAATCGTCAGCGCCACGCACCCATATCTCCACATCCTCAGCACCCGGAGTGATGGTGTTGACGTCGCCAACATCGTCGCGCGGCTGTGCGGCTTCGGGAGGTGGCGCGGACTCCCCGCGTGGCAGAGGAGGGGTGAAATCCGGCGGCGCATGGTGCACGTCCGTGGGAGCCGATTCAGTCATGCGCTCGCGGGCAAGGCGCATGTCCTGCGCCATCCATTCACGGACGAGGCTCTCAATGCGCGTCATCGCATCACCGTGACAATCCTTGATGGTCGCGGAGACCAGCATGGCCGCTTGCATGGTAGCCGTCTCATGCACCCGGGCGCGCCTGGGTATTGCGGTGGTCGTCGGCGGCGGAGCTGTGATAGAGGAGCGGGGAAGATAGTAGGTTTGATTAGTCCGAGTACACTTGTTTGATGTATCATGCATATTAGCTGATAACATGAACGGCTAATCAATAATACGACTTGTACGGAATAAATGCGTAACATTATCTAGGTAATAGAAGCACGACTCACCTGTGAAGCATGGTGTTGACGTGCCTGGCTGAGACGAACTTGGAACCTCCATGCCGGCCGGCACGTTGACGTTAGTCGCGCCGCCTCCGTCCACCGCATGCGGTGCGGCTGCGGCGGTGTCCTGGTTGTGCAGCTCCAGGTATGGATACCACGGTGGTTTCTCCACCGAGCTGTTGCCCGACCCCCCGTCGTCGCGCTTGTACTCCCGCCAAAGGAGCATCAAGTTACGCCACTGCTTCTGCAGAGCGTTGACACCCCTGCACCATCCAGGGTTCGACTCCTTGATGTGCGCGAGTAGTCTGACCCAGTATTGCATCCCCTGCTTCCCCTTGAGAGACTCGAGCTCCTTTTTCATGAACCACTTCGCCGCGGCGAAGATGGTGCTCTCCTTGTCCGACTATAAGCTCCTCTCGACTGGTGCAGCCGACCGCTTCTTCCGTGGCTCCTTGCGTGGCGGTGGTGGCGTCGCCTTGCCTTTGCCTTTGTCAGTTCCAGATGCGCGTGCGGCGCTCCGTTTCGGCGGCTGAGCCACAGGTTGCGCTTCCTCCTCTGCGTCGTCCTCGGTATCCTCATCGTCGTCGTCGTCGTCGCTGGGCGACATCCCAAGGTCTTCCGGTTCCTCCTCCTCGTCTTCGGTGTCGAGACCTTCGTCGCGGTCGTCATCATCAGCATCGTCAGCATCTTGCTCCACGACAGGCCGGTGTGTTGCCGCCGTCCTTGCAGGCTGACGGCGCACTCGTGACGGGGCCGATGTGGGCGCTGTGCACTGGATCCCTGGCCGTCAAGCATGGGCGGCGCGGATAATCCCTTCGGAAGGCGCCCGTTGGCGATCTGCTGGTTCATCCAGCGGATGTAAGGAATGTCGTTAAGATCCTTGGGGCAGTCGTTAAGGGCCTGGCCCTTGCGCTTACGAGCCATGCTGGCGGCTTGAGTGTTTCTAGATCTAGATGTGGAAGGAGCGGGTGCAGAGAGAAATAAACAGATTGGAACAGGAAAGATGGTGGACAAAGATGACCCCGTAAGGTGTTGGGAGGAAGAGGAGTTGTGGGGAAGGAGCACTGGAACTGGGGGAAGGCGCCCTGGCGGGGGCGTGCGCGTCCCTGTCAATAATTCTGGGTGTGTCGTCTCGACCAATCACGACGTTGTGTACGCGTTGATGGGGATAGAGGGTTGAGATGTTGTCCAGATACATGCTGCATGAGTTGACATTTGGCACCTGCGTGCGACTGATGGGGTGTGTTGCAATTAGCTGGCGACTGTTCCGTGAATCACGTCACCCAATGATAAATACATTTGGCGACAACCACGGGTGGCTCGGCATTCTGACACCTGGCAGCATATGCTGTACGTACGCGTCACAATCGATTGGGACACATCGATTGGGGCATGGTCCACATCGGAATGTACCCTTATATTCTGCTAACAGTCTGTACACAGTAGAATGTCATGCAAACAAACACTACGAGTGCGCACCGCACTGCTTCTACGTTGGCGCGCTAGTGGGCATACCGTACAAAATGGTCCAGTGGGACCGTGGTGCATTTTGTCTTGGCGCGCACTGTGGCGGAATCCTTGGTAAAAAAAAAGGTCCGGTAGAAGTGTAGTTGGGCCCGTACCTTGATACAGCCAGTGTAACCAGAATTGTTACCAGAGTAGTTTACAACGAATCCTGATTTCACTTGGGTAAAATTTCATAGCCTAATTTCACAAGGGTAACTGCCAAAAAGTGGCCTACCATCAGGGCAAAAAGGTCACTTTACTCTTGAAATTTGGGCACTTTACACGTGTCGAGGCGGAGGCTCGGAGCGCGGGTTACCAGCCAAGCCGTGAGGTCGGGTTGCGACAGGTACAGCGGCGGGAATGTCGGTCAAGGCGAATGTCGAGAGTGGAAATGGCGTACTGTAGGGTGCTGAGCGGTATGAAGGGATGCTACGTAAGGAAAAGGAAATTTCCTTACAGTAAGTCTTAAGTGAGCGAGAGAGGCCTAGTCCGATACTGGCCTCAGGGGCAGCTTCTAGGGCGGATGCAAAGCCCCACGAGGGGTTCTAAAGCGCGCCAAAATATGGGTCCGCTTCCAGCCCTTCTTCACCTTCTCATGGAATTCGCCGCTTGTGTAATTCGTCAAATTTGATGGAATGATCCCATCACAACCTCGGCAACGGGGCGCCATCAGAGGCTCCAAGCACGGACTAAAATGGTCCGTCACTGCAATTTTGGCAAAATGGTCCGTCACTGCAGTTTTGGCCAATGACGATAGGGAAACAGAAGAGGTCCGAGCCAAACGTACTAACGAAAGCTATGACGATTGCTAATCTATACTGCTGTTCATGGGCCGAGAGGAGATTACACTTATCCGGCCACAGCTAAAAAAACACACGTGCCCTGAAATGGACCGAGTTATAACCGTTGCAGTCCATCTTTTGCAGTGTGGGACCGAATATTTACACGGACGGCCACCTTCTGTTTGGCCATCATCAACTCAGATTCCAAGCTTAGCCCAGTTCGTCCCTGCAGCACACGTCTTTGTACTCTCCTATTTAAGTTATAGAATCAGGCTTGGTATCTCTCGTTTTCGATACCATTTTTTTCCATGGAGGACTACGAAAAGCTCGAGAAAGTGGGCGAAGGTACCTACGGGAAGGTCTACAAAGCGAAATGCAAGAAAACTGGCACGATAGTAGCTCTGAAGAAGACCCTTCTAGGTATGGAGGAAGAAGGGGTTCCTTCAACAACCCTTCGTGAAGTTTCCCTTCTGCGAATGCTTTCGAAGAGCGTGCATGTAGTGCGGTAAGAACACAGCCAGACCCGTCAGAACCCTTCCCTTCGCGTCTAGTTGTGGCTTTTATCTCATCGCAATAATTTGTTTTGTTTCTCAGATTACTCAACGTCGAGCACATCACCGAGAACAACAAGCCCATGCTTTACCTGGTCTTCGAATACCTGGACACTGATCTCAAGAAGTACATGGGTGCGATTGGCAAGGGCCCAAGCCACCCGTTGGACCCCAAGATTGTGAAGGTGTGTAAACTGATTGTCATTGTCTCCTCAGGGCGCATGAATGTGTCTTTGTTGAGGTTACTGAGAGTTTCATTGACTTGATTGCAGAACTTCATGTATCAACTCCTCATGGGAGTTGCTCATTGCCATAGCCATGGAGTTATGCACAGGTGAGAATCCAGCTCTGCACGCGTATTCCCGTGCCATCCCCATGGATAGAATCAAACTCACAATTCTTCTCGTACATGCAGAGACCTTAAGCCGCAGAACCTTCTCGTCGACAAAGATCGGGGCTTGGTGAAAATAGCCGATCTTGGATTGGGCCGCGCATTCACTGTTCCTATCAAGAGCTACACACACGAGGTAATGAATTTGATGTACTTGTGATAACGAGCATCAGAAGCTTCCACATCATACTAATCCGTCGGTGCCAATTGCAGATCGTAACTCTGTGGTATCGAGCTCCGGAGGTACTTCTTGGCGCAACCCACTATTCCACGGCCGTGGATATGTGGTCGGTTGGCTGCATATTTGGTGAGTAGTGTTTGTAATTGACCCTTCTCGATTGATAAGCCCCTCCATTCTCGTAATCCTCTTGGCACAACTCTCTCGACTCCCTTGGGCCTCGGCTCCTAAGCCTAGGCCCTACCTAAACCCGTACGTCCTTATCTTGACACTTCTCAGGCTAATTCTCTCTTCGCAATGGTTTCAGCTGAGATGGCACACAAGGTGCCACTCTTCTTAGGAGATTCGGAGTTGGAGCAGCTGCTTATCATCTTTAAGTGAGTGGACATTTTTCTTGCTTAATCTCAGCATGGTTTAGCATGATCGACTAACCAATGTTACTATGTACCTGACTGTACAGGATTCTTGGAACTCCGAACGACATGGTCTGGCCTGGTGTTTCGAATCACTGTGACTGGCATGAGTTCCCCCAGTGGCGTGCCCAGAACCTTGCTTTGTTTGTGCCAGAGTTGGACGAGAAGGGCGTTGATCTATTGAAGGTACGGTAGTAAGCTGTTTTCTCTTTTGCATTTGAAGGGTTCCCTTACTGATTCCATGTTTTTCTGCAGCACTGCTTGGAGTATGATCCTGCCAAGAGGATCACTGCAAAGGATGCTCTTCAGCATCCTTATTTCGACAACTTCGACAAGTCGCAATTTGATGCTCCTTTCTGAGTCCGTCACTTCTAGTGGCCCACACGCATGTTGGATGCTACCACCTCGCTGTAATTTTTGTCAATATTACCACAATGCAGGATAGGAGCTCTATCGTTTTCCCTCTTCCAATCCAACTATTGTAGAGGCTGTGCTTTTCAAACACCTGTTCCTGGTCACCTAGCATTTTGAACTTTGGTCAACGCCTTAGAATCTAGGCCGCCGAGTGAGGTACAAGAAGTTAGCCACAACCGTGAGAGTCTGCGCTGTGATTGAGTTATGTGCGAAGCCCGTCACATGCTCTGACTCTCACAGCACCCCTGCCTCGTGTACCACAAGCAGAGAGTACATCCCCAAACCATGTCCCTAGAAGCAGATCTTCACAATCTCACAGTTCTTCATGCGTCGCCGAGATGCCAAGAACTCCTGAAATTACACAATTTTTTTTATGGGAAATGACTCACTACCACGGTACATTGGAGGATAATCTCCAGGGTTACGAGCTGGAAATAGGTGACTCAGTTGGACAAACACGGAAGGCCAAAGCGCAGGTGGCAGAGATAGCATGCACGTCAAAAGAAGAGCATGGGTGGTTGTTAAGGGCAGCAGGCGAGAGAGGTTGGTACCATGAAGAAAGTGGAATGGCCAATGACAGCAATGGTGGCCTCGGGGCAAGCGAAGAGAAAACGACGGAACTCCCCCACGCGCTTGCGAAGGATGGCTGGTGTGAGATATCGGAGGACAGAGAGGGGGGGGAAGAGGGCAAGTAATGCATGCTGAGATGAAATGCTTAGGAAAGAGAGGAGTCGAGCACAGCCGTATGGAAGAGAAGCGGGACGAGGCTATTCCGAAAGAGAGGAGCAGGTGCTGTGGTTGATAAAATAAAAATAATCAAACGAATGAAATTGGGATGGCAATGAGAGGTGGGGCGGAGAAGAGGGGTGTTTTGAGACGTCTCAAAACACTCCTTTTTTCAATTGGGATGGCAATGAGAGGTGCGGCGGAGAAGAGGGGGGAGTGACGAAAAGGTGTGGAGTGGAAAAGAGCACATGGGTGGTGGGCGAGGCACAGGAGAGAGGGAAAACAACGAGGATGGGGTTTGGCATGGCTGTGCGCAGCATAGATTAGGGCAAGAGGCACGTGCGCTGCACACCTGTGACGGACACCACTTGTTGCTCTCACCGCACGCATGTGCACCTCCCTGCTCTCCTTCCATAATACACTCTGACACACCCATCATCCTGCCCCCTCCCCTCCCCTCCCCCCTCCTGTCACCGTGCATGACAATAGCGTGCCATGTCAATGTGCCATTCGGCAACAGTTCTTACCTGCATGTCCCCCACCACCTCACCATCCCCCACGCGCCCTCCCATGCTGGAGGCAGCAGCACGCACCTGTGGGCGGCACGCACCTGTGGGCGGCACACACCTGTGGGCGGCACACACCTGTGGGCGGCACAAACCTGTGGGCGGCACACACCTGTGGGCGGCACACACCTGTGGGCGGCACACACCTGTGGGCGGCACACACCTGTGGGCGGCACACACCTGTGGGCGGCACACACCTGTGGGCGGCACAGACCTCTGGGCGGCACACACCTCTGGGCGGCACACACCTCTGGGCGGCACACACCTGTGGGCGGCACACACCTGTGGGCGGCACACACCTCTGGGCGGCACACACCTCTGGGCGGCACACACCTCTGGGCGGCACACACCTGTGGGCGGCACAGACCTCTGGGCGGCACACACCTCTGGGCGGCACACACCTCTGGGCGGCACACACCTGTGGGCGGCACAGACCTCTGGGCGGCACACACCTCTGGGCGGCACAGACCTCTGGGCGGCACACACCTCTGGGCGGCACACACCTCTGGGCGGCACACACCTGTGGGCGGCACACACCTGTGGGCGGCACACACCTCTGGGCGGCACACACCTCTGGGCGGCACACACCTCTGGGCGGCACACACCTCTGGGCGGCACACACCTCTGGGCGGCACACACCTGTGGGCGGCACACACCTGTGGGCGGCACACACCTGTGGGCGGCACACACCTCTGGGCGGCACACACCTCTGGGCGGCACACACCTCTGGGCGGCACACACCTGTGGGCGGCACACACCTGTGGGCGGCACACACCTGTGGGCGGCACACACCTGTGGGCGGCACACACCTGTGGGCGGCACACACCTGTGGGCGGCACACACCTCTGGGCGGCACGCACCTGTGGGCGGCACGCACCTGTGGGCGGCACGCACCTGTGGGCGGCACGCACCTGTGGGCGGCACGCACCTGTGGGCGGCAGACACCTGTGGGCGGCACACACCTGTGGGCGGCACACACCTGTGGGCGGCAGACACCTGTGGGCGGCAGACACCTGTGGGCGGCACACACCTGTGGGCGGCACGCACCTGTGGGCGGCACGCACCTGTGGGCGGCACGCACCTGTGGGCGGCACGCACCTGTGGGCGGCACGCACCTGTGGGCTCATGCAAGGAGGGCGTTTTGGCAGCAGAGGAGGGGGCAGGCAGAGAGGGGGCGAAGGGCACGGGGACTGTGCACGGGGGAGAGGATGGCGGCGACGCTGGGTGACTGGATGCTGGCGCCCTAGGCGGTTCCGCTACCGCACACGGTGAAGCTGCTGCTGCTGCTGCTGCTGCTGCTGCTGCTGCTGGTGATGGGACCGTGATCGGTGCAGGGGAGGGCGGTGGTGCAGGGGATGGTGTGGGTGGAGGGTAGGACGGTTGGCGGGGCCACCAGTGGTGCGGGAGGTGGGAGAAGGAGAGGAAGGGGAACGGGAAGTCGGAGGCGAGTATCTGCACACACACACACATGTGCATGCACGCACATGCACACACACACACATGTGCATGCACGCATATGCACATACATACACATGTGCATGCACGCACATGCACATACACACACATGTGCATGCACGCACATGCACACACACACACACATGTGCATGCACGCACATGCACACACACACACACATGTGCATGCACGCACATGCACACACACACACACATGTGCATGCACGCACATGCACACACACACAAGTGCATGCACACACATGCACACACACACACATGTGCATGCACGCACATGCACACACACACACACACACACACACACACACACACACACACGCGCGCGCGCACACACGTGCATGCACGCACATACACACACGCACGCACATGCACACACAGGAACACATAGACACACATACACACATGCAGAGAGTGGCCTGTGAGCCCGTGGTGGGTAACCATGAAGAGTAGTGCATCCTGAGCCAGTCGGAATGCGGATGAATCACACGCCCACGCATACACCAACTCAACCCCACCCCATCCGCACCCCATCCCACCTAACCCCACCGCAGGCCCTCCTGAGCCACCCCCCTCTCATGCACGCACCTCCTTTTCTCGCCCCATGTCCCCAGGGCCAGCCACGTGCTCTGAGTGCAGTGCACACACACGCACAGGGCACGGCAGGGGCGAGTGCGGCAGCGCATGGCAGGGCTGGGGGGAGGGCAGCAGAGCAGGGGGAGCAGCCAACGTGGTGGTGGTAGTCGCAGGGCGGCCAGCACTGGAGTAGGCGTGTGGTGGCCCGTGGGGTGCGTGAGGACACTGGTGAAGCGCGTTCGAAGGCTTTGCAGGTGAGTTGACGGGATGATGAGGTGAGTTGGAGGGGTGTGGTGCGGTGCAGCATGGTGGGTGGGGAATGCTGGTGGTGGTGCAGGGGGGGTTGCGGTGGCATGTGGTGGCGGCGGGAGTGTTGAGGTGCAAGGCATAGCAGAGAGTTTCCAGAGCACGTGAGAGTGGTGACACCAGCAGCTGATACGGCAAGGGCAGAACATGGGGAAAGCAACAGGCGGACAGGGGGGTGGAAAGACAGGAGGATTGGGAATGAATTGATGAGGATAAAGAAATAAGAAAGAGGGAAGGGATGGCAGAACGGTTAAAGGGCCCATGAAAAGCTGGGAAGGGAGCAAGGAGACCTGAAACCACATTTGGCAAACACTCTTGACTGCGCCCTCCCTACCCCCTGTGTGTAGCCCTGAACATGCACACAGGGGCCATGGGCCGTGGGCTGTCCTGCTTCCTCCCCCACACACACATGCAGAGGTAGCAGCAGCCGGACTCCACTCGCACTCTGTGCCACAACTCGCAGGCAGCGACGGCAGACTCGATGCAAAGCAATAAAAAACTCACTATAAGCGATGAGCCACTCACTGTAATCAATCAGATACTCACTATGAGCAATACAAGACTCAGTACAAACGATGGTAGACTCAATAAAAGCGATGAAAGACCCACTATTAGTGACAACAGACTCACTTCAAACGATGGAAGACAACACTCGCTAATAGCAACGGCAGACTCACTAGCTGCGACTTTTGGGCGATGTGGATGAGCGTGGAATGAAGATCCATAGCCTGCTGTGAGGCAGAGGGCAGCGGCGGGACGAGACTGTGAATGAAGATCCATAGCCCTCAATCTCACACTTTGTACTTAATAATTTCTATATCCTAGAGTAGTGTAGTTTGTACTTCGTGCTTGGTTGGGTGTACACCTACATCCCAACCAAACCCAAATGTAATCTCCAAGCAATCTCCAACCCACCAATTGGAGATTGCCTTGGGATTACCCTCAATCCCTAGGGATTGCCCACGTTTCCTTTCCCCATCCACTCCTCGCCCATCTTGGATGTAGTTTAAGAGCTTTAAGCTCATTACTAATGTATCAGTTCTAAGCCTAAGTTCTGACAAAGACGCGTGCAGGGGAGCAGGGATATGTGGCGACCGATTAGCGTGCTGATGGGAGAGAGGGAGCATGGGAACCATGGCAGCTGCACTGAACCCAAACAATCAGCTGCAACCAAACTATTCACAGCAGTGCACAGCAACACACAACAGACACACAGCAGCGGCGAGCAACAAGCAGCGAGCAGCGAGCATGGGGTGACCAGACCTGCTGCCTGCCGAGAGGGGAGAGCGGCACGTCATGGCCACGGTGCAGGTGATGGCGGTATGCACGGCATGGCAGCAGCGGCGGAGAGGTGTGGGGTGGCGAGAGGGGAGGAGAGGCGGAGGGGGAGAGGGGGAGGTGGGACGCGAGGGGTATGGGCGCGGGAGGGTAGGGGATGTGCGTGGGCGGAGCAGAGAAGGACGTGTGCGCGTGCCTGATGAGATAGATGACCTGCTGGGGAAGCAGACAGAGAGTGTGGGCGGGAGAATGGATGGATGGATGGAGGATGAGTGGGTGAGTAGATGGGGCGCATAAGGGACTCGTGTGACAGGCAGAGGGCAGTGCAGAGGAGGGGAGAAAATAATGCGAGCATGGAGGATAATGCTGGATGTGCGTGCACGTGCGTGAAAGCGCGTGAATGTGCGCGCATGTGTGTTTATGTACGTGCATGTGTGTGCACCTTGCGCTGTCGCCCTGCTCGTGAGAACACATCCCATGCCACGCGTGCTGAGCGTGGTGCTACTTCCATGCCTGCTCCGTCTCTTCGCCCCATGCTCGCTTCCCCCATGCATGCATGCCCTGTGCATGCCTCCTCTGCGACATCTCGTCTCCCTGCTCCACCACAACCACCCTCGCTTGCCCCTGCATCTCCCGCAGCAGCATCCGCACCACCTCTTTCTCCACAACCACCCTCTCTTTCGCCACCTCTGCTCTGCCCTTTCTCACAACACCACCACCCTTTTTTCCGCCGCTTCCCTTCCCTCTCGCTCCCCTCCAATTCCCCCTCCAACCCTCTTTTCTCCCACTTATTAGCAGCATCTACCTTTTCCATTCTCAACCCCGCCTCCCCTCCACTCCCACTGCCCACCATATCTTCCCCCACTTTTTTCCCTTCTTCCCCTGCCTCTCCCCCTTCAACCCTCACCTCTCCACCTTCTCTTGCCCCCTCGTCTCCTTCTCCCCCTACCTCTCCCACTTCTCCCCCCACCTCTGCACCTCCTCTCTCTACTTCTCGCCGTTCTCTCCGTGTATCCCTCCTTTCTTTCCCCAACTCACCCCACCCTCCCCCCTCTTCCCTCCCCATTGTCCAACCTCCTGCCTCCCCTCCCCCCACCACGCCACAACCCTCCTTGCCTGCGCGTGCCCTGTCATGCGCGCTGCTCCCCCTGGTTGTTCCGCGCCTGACACAATGGCTGCAGACGCGACGGCAGCAGCAGCCGAAGCAGGGAAAACACGAGCAGCGGCAGCAGCTGCGGCTGCAGCAGGGGCAGCAGCAGCAGCAGCAGCAGCAGGAGTCGACGTGCAGTGCCACAGTGCAGCGAGGCACGGAGCGCCAGCACACAGGGCATGCCACGAACCCGCTCCCCAACCTGCCTCCTCCTGCTCCTCCGCCGCTGCTGTTGCTGCTGCCGCTGCCGCTGCCTCCCAACCTCTTCCCCTCCGCCCCCCGCGTCGTCGCCGCCTGCCCTGCCCTTCCGCCATCGCCTCGCCCGCTAGCCCTCCGCGCAGCGCATCCCCGCGCAGGTTCCGCGCCCTTGCCCCTGCTCGCGCGCATGCTACTGCCCGCGCCCGTGTCCACTGTGCGCTGCTTCAGAACGAACCGATGCTTTTCGCCCAACCTGTTTTTCGCCCGCGCCGTCAAGCCGACCGCGCCGTCAAGCCGACCGCGCCGTCAAGGCGTCACGCCGTGAATGCCGTGAATCCCTGTGGCCGTGTCTTCAGTCAACAGCGCCGGGGAGAGCAGCGCCATGCCCGCGCGTGGCGGAGAGGATCCAACTTTGCGATGCGCGGAGCAAACGGAGCGTGCCGTGCGGCGTTCTAGGCGCTCGCTGTTCTCGCTTCGCGTGCCGTGCCGCGTTAATTTGGTTCGCTATAACATCTGCAAGGGCTGAAAGGGCTGAACTATACATTCGTGTGTAACGAAGTACATCGCTGCTTCTTCATTGGTCACAAAGGCAGGAACTGTATGGTTGCATAACGGGCAAGGTGTCTTCGCTAGTGCACTCCTCGATTCCCACTCTTCTCGATCGAATTGTACATGAAAATCGCGCTTCCACACCCAACCAAACCCCAGCCACGCACCCACGTTTTGCTCAATACCGTTGGTCACCGCACTCCGCCCACCCGACTGGTGTCACATCCATCTGCACACTTTATCATCCAAATTGGTTTCAACTTATCACTGCACTTGACAAAATCCATGCGCCTCGCTACGGCGTACAACCCAAGGGCGATCCACCCACCACCATCCCCTCATCACCTCTTCCGCGACTGTCGCATCTATTACACCCCGCACCTCCTGCGGCCTCCGCTCAATCCGCCGTGCCGCCAGCTGCGGAAGCGCTCTCCGCCACATCACGGTCCCTCCACCGTTCCGCGCAGTCCCCGCGCCGACCCCGCGCCATGGCCGACCGGAGCGGCGACCGCCCGGCGCAGGGAACGACGCGCGGAGACAATGGCGCAGGCCCCGCGGGTGGCGATAAGGGGCTCATTCCGCGGTCGAATAAGGAGTACCTCAATATCGAGTACTGGTGAGCGCTTCAGCGTGGACGAGAGAAAGAAAGTAAATCCGCAAAGGCGGGTGCGGTAGGGAGACGAATGGGACGGGGAGCGCGCGGGAATTGGGGGGAGATGGCGTCTGGGTTGGTCCTGGTGGTGCGATAACACTCTAAGTTCATGTGAGCCCTGAATCTTGAACCCTATACCCTGTACCCTGTACCCTGAAATTTATGGTGCAAAGGGTGGAAGGGTGTGCGGCGTGTGGGAGAAGGGAGGGCGGACGAGGCGCGTGGAGCATGGCGTGGTAGAGACTCAGGTGACAGGGATCCGTGTATGCAGGCTGCGACCTACCTCAACCTGAACATTGAAGAACAACCTATGGCATGCATGGTGTGGCATGCATGGTGTGGCATGCATGGCATTGCATGGCCTGACATGGCATGGCATTGCATGGCATGGCATGGCATGGCGTGGCATGGCGTGGCATGGCATGGCATGGCATGGCATCAGGGACAAGCGGTTTGAAGTGGAGGAGTCGTTTGAGTGGTGCGGGGACTACTCGCAGTTCAATCACCTGCTGCTCGCACACATCCGCCCCTGTGACCGGGTAAGATACTTCCATCCATCCTCACATCATCCGCCTTCCCCATCTGCTTTCAAGGCACCTCACAACCACACACTTCCTCACATTCCTGAGCTGTTGTGCTGCTCGCAAGCATCGCCCCCTGTCACCGGGCACTCGTGCTGTTCTCTCTGCTCCCTACACATACTCATTGCTGTCTTCCCAACCCTGCTATGCTTCTCCTTAGTCTTGCTCTCAGCCATCTGCCTCACAACATCCCTGCCCTTCCACGCGTGCCCCTGTCTTGCGCACACCAGGTGCTGATACTGGGCAACGGCACGTCAGACTTGCCGGAATGCCTGTGGAGGGATGGACGCCGCCACATCACTGCCACCGACCTCTCTGCCCTCGTCGTCCACCGCATGGCACTGCGCAGCACCGCTCTGGGAAGCGCCGCTGTGTGTGCTGCTGCCCCTGCTGCAGTGCCTGCAACAGCCGCCAATACAGCCCCGGATGGTGCTGTGGCGTGTGACACACACTTCGAGGCAGCAGCGCACACAGCGACTGGGGAGGCCTCTGAAGGAACACAGCCATCGCAGCACCAACACCAGCAGCAGCAGCCTTCCTCGTCGCCTGCCACCCACGTGGGTGCCATAACAGTGGGCAGAGAGGGGCAGGCGCAGAACCCATGTACTGGTCTCACTGGCAGCACCGCTGCTGACAGCAGCAGTGGCGGTGGGCCATGCAGCAGCACCAACAGCAGCAGCAGCAGCAGCAGCGGCGGCGGTGGCTACGGCAGCAGCAGCAGCAACGTTGGAGGAGTGGTGTGTGGGTGTGGCAGGGCGGCGGGCATCACATGGGCAGTGGCGGACATGATGGCTCTGCCCTTCCCCGATGCTGCCTTTGATGTCGTGCTTGAGAAGGGCGTGCTGGTATGATGGCAAATGATGCTTCATGGGTGATGGGTGACGGTTCATGGGTGATGGTTGAGTGGGAAGAGTAGATTGGTTGGGGGGGAGGTTGGGAAGGCTGTTGTGGAGGAGGGCGCCATGCACCATCCATGCTGCTCTTTCTTTCTTGTGTTTACGGAGCTCCATCCTCACGACCACTACCTCTCTTGCATCAATTCCCGTGAATCCTATTCATTGCTGTGCATGCACCCCACCCCACTCCACCCCACCGCACCCCAAATGTAGCTGCCAACAGCAGCTGCCATCTCTATCCCATCGTGTTCCTATCAGCCACTTCCGCCCCCTCTTTCTCCTCACACTTTCCTCTCCCCTTCTCCCCCTCTCCCCCCTGCCCCTCAGGACGTGCTATTGGTGGACAGCGAGTCCCCCTGGCACGTGCCGCCGCCCATCGTGCACCGCGTGCACACAGCGCTCTCCCAGGCCCACCGCGTGCTCACCCCGCACGGCCGCCTGCTCTCCATCACCTTCGGCCAGGTGGGCTGTCAAGCAAGGGAGGGGGTGCGGGAGAGAAGAGAGAGGTGAGGTGGAGCACGGTGCTAGGTGCTCTGACACGCGAGAGAGGGACGGGGTACAGCTAGTGGGTGGGATGCGGTAGGGGGGTGGAGGAGGTGTGTTATGGTTGTGGGGCAAGGGAAATTTGCTCGGATGTCTTGCGTTGGTCCAAGTCACGCGTCCCTTATCCCTGCCTACCCCACCACATGCCACCAATCTCACGCCTCGCCTCGCATCACCTACTTGGCACGGCACGTCTCACACGGCCTCAGCGTGTCCCACTTCCCCCCCATGCGCCCCCCCTCCCCCCCTCTCTCCTCTCCCTCTCCCTCTCCCTCTCCCTCTCCCTCTCCCTCTCCCTCTCCCTCTCCCTCTCCCTCTCCCTCTCCCTCTCCCTCTCCCTCTCCCTCTCCCTCTCCCTCTCCCTCTCCCTCTCCCTCTCCCCTCCTCCCCTCTCTCCCTCTCCCTCTCCCTCTCCCTCTCCCTCTCCCTCTCCCTCTCCCTCTCCCTCTCCTTCCCTCTCCTCCCCTCTCCTCCCCTCTCCTCCCCTCTCCTCCCCTGCAGCCTCACTTCCGTCGGCCCCTCTATGAGGCCCCTCACCTCACATGGACGCTGCAGGTACTCTTCCCTCTCCCCACCTCACTCCTCTTTCCTCCCTGCACTCCTCTTTCCCCACCATGCTCTCCTTTGCCCACTGCTCTCTCCTTTCCTCACCGCACTCTATTTCCTTTGGGGACTCCATCCATATTTGAGATCTTCTGATTAAATTATTGCTGCGCTGTGTGCCGTGCTGTGCCCCCCTGTGCCCCCCTGTGCCCCCCTGTGCCCCCCTGTGCCCCCCTGTGCCCCCCTGTGCCCCGCTGTGTCCTTGTGTGCCCTTGTGGGCCGTGCTGTGTCCCACACACCCAGCACACGGCCTTTGGGGATTCCTTCCACTACTTCCTCCTCCACCTCGCCAAGGTATGCTCCCCCACCTAAACCAAAACCCAAAAGCCCAGAACCCCAACTGCAAGTTACTGTAGAAAGTTCAAGCTATGAGTGGTCGCAGTTCACCTAAGCTGACTAGTCATCGCCCTGGGCTCACATGAAAGCATGGGAGCAAAGGGTGGGGAGGGGTAGATGGGTAGGTGGTTGTTGGCTGGGCGCCTGGTAACGGGATGCGGTTGCGAGTCGGCATAGTGTGTATGTAGCGTTTAAGCGGGTTGAGTGGGGGGTTGGTGGTCGTGCCATACCAGTGTGCACCTCGTAGGTCCCTGTTCATTCTTGCAAAACAATATCTGCCGATGCCTCTCACCCACATTCACCACCCACTTGCTGTCACCCTGTACTGCTCGTCCCCCTCCCTTCATGCTATTCAGGGAACTCGTACGCCCACAGTCACAGACACTCCTGCCGATGCCGATTCTGAATTGGCGGGTCTTGTGATAACGCTACCGCAGTCCTCAGATGCACAGCCACCGTTGGATCTAGAGCATGAGTTCATGGATTCGGTTGATTTCTTCTCCCACTGCTCCCTCGGACTGGATTAATGTGCTTCGACTTGACGGCAAGACAAGCGCAAGGCAATCTCATTATTGGCAAAGTGTGTAAACGAAACGATAGTTGTATGTAAAATACAGGTTGATGCACTGTAGGGGTGTTATCGAAACGAAAGTTGCGCGCCGAGCCTCACGACCCCGCCCTTCTCTCCACCCGAACCACTCAGCTCCTTTGATTCCACTGACACGGTATTTCCCGATCACTCGCTTCCGTCGCGAGCTATGGCTGCTCGCCCCCTCGCCGCCCTCCGACTCTCCTACCCCTTCACCCCCATCCGCATTCCGTCCCCAATCCCGCTCATTCGCCGATCCGCGTCCGCCTGCGCGCTCCTCCGTGCGGCACCGCGCTGCTACCACTCGCGCAGCATCCGCGGATCCCCAACGTGCGCGCATCTTCCGTCGTCCGCGGCGTATCCCCTCTCCTCGTCTCTTTCACGCCCAATTCCGCCAGCCCAGCGCGCCTCCCTCACAGGGGAAGCCGCACGAGGCGGATACCTGACACGCGCAGCGATTGCTCACGGCTGCCCGGCCGATCGCCGCCTCCGCAGCGGGGTGACGCGCGCAGCAAGCGCAATGGCGGAGGCTGGGGGGCTAATGGCGGGAGGAGGCGGGGAGCAGAGCATTGGAGCGCGCAATGGCAGCAGCGCGTGGGGCGGCGGCGCGAGCAGAGTGCAAGTGCGGCGGTTGGGCGAGAACCCCACGGAAATCATTGATCTCCCCGCCGAGACGCGCTTCCGCGCGTCGCCAGCAGCAGACGGCGCAGCGGCAGCAGCCGCGGATGGAATCGCCGTGGAAATCCGCAGCAGCATCGTAGGTGCTTCTTCCGCGGGGGTTCCCCCGCCCGCAGTGCTAGTCGTGCCTGGAAATCCGGGCGTGTGCGCGTATTACACGGACTTTGCGCTCGCGCTGCACTCCGCGCTTGGCGGAGCTGCGCGCGTGGTGGTGGTGGGACACGTGGCGCACACGGAGCGGGAGATGGAGGGCGGGCGTCTGTACTCGTTACAGCACCAGATCCAGCACAAGATAAGGTTCATCCAGGAAGAAGCGGGAATCGTTGCATCAGGAAACGAAGCGGACGAAACCGCGTACCAGCAACAACAACAACAGCAGTCACCACAGCAGCAGCAGCAGCAGCAGCAGCAGCAGCGGTGGGTAGTGGTGGGGCATTCAATCGGCGCGCATATAGCAGTAGAGATGCGCAGGCACCTACCCTCCCACGTGGTGCACGTGGTGGGGCTCTTCCCCTTCCTCGCGTTCAACCACCAATCAGACGAGCAGCGGCGCCTGAAGCTGATCGCATCGCTGACGCCGCTGCTGGCGGTGGTGGCGGCGCTGCTGCAGGTGGTGCGCGTGCTGCCGGCAGGGGTGTTGCGGTGGGTGGTGCGGCGCGGCGTGGGGAAGGCGTGGAGCCATGGCGCCGTGCATGTCACTGCCACTGCCATGCTCCGGGTGGGTTGATTGCTGCCATGCTGCCATGCTGCAAGTTGGCATGTCGGCATGCTCACACATGCATACATACACACTTGCCATGGTGCCTTGCATGCCACTACTTCTGCCATGCTCTGGGTGGGCTGATGTGCTGGCATGCTGGCATGTACACGCATTTACACATCCACATGCACCCATCCACATGTGCACATGTCACATGTGCACACATGCGTGCATGTAAGATTACTCCAATTTACATGCATGGAGGCAGTGACTTGTGGGTGAACCATAAATCTGGGTCCTGTTTCTCATGACTAGGACCACATGCACCATAGGGCCATCATGCACCACCCTCCATACGCTTGATGTCATATCCCATAACCCTTGTTCTTCGAATAGCTTTAACTACCTGCCCTCCCCCATTCAACCCTTCGTGTGTGCGGCGCCACTCATCGTCCATGTGCCGTCCCTCATCGTCCAACGTGTGCTCGCCATGGTGCACCATGCCATGCCATGCCATGCCATGCCATGCCATGCAGTACAACATGCTGCGCAACTATGCCTACATGGGACACACCGAGTTCATCTATGTGAGTGTGCCTGCATACCTACATGCCTGCATCGCGACCATGCCTTGCACGTGCCGTTGCACTTCCCATCTTCCCACTTGCCACTTCTTCACTTCCTCGCTTCCCCAATTCCCCACATTCCTACTCCTATCTTCACTGGCGCCTTTGTTCCTCTCTTTAACTGAACGCCCTTGTTTCCTTTCCCAATACGTGGTATTGGCACCCACCTCTTGCATCACTCCATCATCCCATGCTATCATCCCTGCCTGCAGTCACCAGACGCACTTCAACACATACATGCTTGCACTGCACCCATTGCTGTTTTCTTTTTAGTCAGCCCAGATTCACCCTCTTTCTCTCGCCCATTCCTTCCTCTTTGCGCCCTCGTGTCTCCGCTCCAACAAATCAACTTCCCCGCCTCACACCATGGGGAGAGAGCAGTTTTCGCAGCGGGAGTTTGACTGGGCGTTTCTGAGCAGCAACGCGCCGCACTTCACCTTCATCTTTGGCCGTGACGACCACTGGGGCCCTCTACACCTGCACCAGCAGGTGGGCTCCTCCACCCATCCCTCTGCTGCTCGTGATGCCATGATTTGATGCTCGTTATGCCATGATTTGGTGTATGGTGCCATGATGCCATGATGACATGGTGCCATGATGTGTTGCAACATACGGTACCATGCCCTCTGTCATCAGCATCGCACATCCATGCTCTCTCACACCGTTGTCCCTCTGAATGCCACAGATGCAGGAGCGAGTGCCGGAGGTGGCAGCATACGTGGATGAGGAAGGCCATGAGCACACCTTCTGCTGCACTGACAGGGGTGCCAGCAGCATCGCAACGTATGTCGCCAAGCTGTTGCGCTCGCACGGCGCTATCCCTGCTACATAGCTGCTCTGGCACGCACTGGTGTTTGGTGGAAGTTCACACATTTTCTCAATCATTTCATCAGCAGCTCAAAGCCCTTCAGTAGTAAGTATCAGGCTATACCGTATTACACATGGTGTTATGAGTTGTCAAACAGAGTTGCGCGGAATAACGAATAACGAGGCTGTGACTCAATGAAACTGACGATACAATGAAAGACATGCGATTATATAGCAGGACAACCTAGCTAGGCGGGAACCTCGGGAACACGAGGTTGAGTGCAGGTTGGGCAAAGGAAAGCCGAAGGCGACGCGAGGTTGCTTCGGCAGCAAGCAAAGCGGCCGAACGTGCACTTCCGAAAGTTGGGGTTGTACGCGGTTGAGTAAACCCCAGTAAGGAAAAAAGGGTTTTCCTTACACTACCCCCCCCCCCTTAACCAAGGTGGTCAACATCTACGACATGCTTTCGTGCGAGGTAATCGCGCAGTAGCGAAGGTGCTTCAAGCGAAGCGGATGGCACCCAGGTGTCGTCTTCGCTGGTGCGATTAGTCAACCGAATCAGAAAATCCACGTGGCGTCCTGCTGCGTCTAGGCGTACGCGATGTGCCAAAATCTTCGACGGGTCAAGCGTCGGTTCCGGGACAGGGCGAGCTGTCGGGGCTGCATTTTGGCGGGCAATGTCCGTCGTGGCCGGTACGAAGGGCTTGAGGAGGCTGACGTGGAATGCATCGTGTATACGCCAGTCGTCGGGTAGCAGAAGTTTCGCCGTAACGGGTGTGATCATTTTCAAAATGCGGAAAGGTCCACAGTAGCGCGGACGAAGCTTCGAAGAGCCGGGCAGGCGGAGGTTCTTGGTGTCGAGAAGCACTAGTTGCCCTGCTGCCATGGTGATTTCTCGGCGTAGCAAATCCGAGTATTTGCGGGCAGTTGCATTGGCTTTTCGGATAGCTTCGACAGCTTTCTCGCGGATGGCCTGGAGTTCCGTCACAAAGTGTTCCGAACGTGGTACCGGGTTCTCAGGGGTCGTTGCTGTGGGTACCACCGGATCCATCCCGTAATTGAGGAAGAACGGGGAATGGTTGGTCGTGCTGGATGGGGCGTTGTTGTACGCAAATTCCAGCATCGGGAGAGAATCTTCCCATCGAGCAGGGTCGGGGCAGTTCGTGCGGATGAGCTGCTCCATCGTCTGATTGGTCCGCTCGGTCTGGCCGTCGGTTTGCGGGTGGTATGCCGACGAGAACTGTAGCTGCTGTACTGCGCCCATGTCTCCTTCCAGAACTTCGATATAAATTTCGGGTCCCTGTCCTTGTCGATGTAAATTTCGGGTCCCGTACTCCCCATGCTCCAGGGGCGGCTCCTCCAGAGGCTGCTGCTCTAGGTGCTGGTGAGTCTGCTCTCTCAGGTACCGGTACCACGTCTGCTCAGGCGTCGCACACTTTCACCCTTGACTCGGGTGCTTCCCGCTCCTTTCGAGACCGCACCACTCTTACGCCGCTCAGTCGGCCGGTTGCAGTCTCCCTGGCAGACCCCTCTGGGGGTCCTGTCCTTGCTCACTACTCCACTGTTCTGCCGTGTCCAGCGGTCCCGTCTGGCTCCCTGTCCGGTCTTTACCTCCCCTCGTTCTCTACGAACTTGGTGGCGGGTGCTGACCTACAGGATGGGGGAGTTGACCAGTTCACTCCTGCGCGTCAGCGGGTGACCCACTGCACGTGTGCTGACACGGGCCGACACTTGGCCACGTTTACCCGTCGGCCGGGGTCGAGCCTGTACACCCTGACTACCGAGTCTCCTCCGGTTGCTGTGCCTGGTCAGGAAGCTTCGTCGGGTCAGGTGTTTGCTGCAGCGTCTCGGTCTGGTCCTGAGTCTGCCCCCTGCTCGTGTCGCCTCCTGTCCCACGAGACTCTTCTCTGGCACCACCGTCTTGGTCACCCCTCCCTGCCTCGTCTCCGAGGCATGGCCTCTCGTGTCCTGGTCTCTGGTCTCCCCCGGTCTCTCCCTCCCCTCCCTCCGGGGCCTGCCCCTACCTGCGTTCCCTGCGTCGAGGGGCGGCAGCGCGCCGCTCCTCACTCCTCCGAGTTTCCGCCGACAGAGGCTCCGCTGCAGACTCTTCACATGGACGTGTGGGGCCCAGCCCGCGTCCGTGGACAGGGTCAGGAGCGCTACTTCCTGCTGGTGGTTGACGACTACTCGCGTTACACCACAGTCTTCCCCTTGCGCCGCAAGGATGAGGTCACTGAGGTGTTGATCGACTGGATCCGCACTGCTCGTCTCCAGCTCAGGAAGAGTTTCGGCTCGGACTTTCCTGTTCTGCGTCTGCACTCTGACCGAGGTGGAGAGTTTTCCTCCGGCCCTCTACGAGCCTTCTGTCGTGCGAGGGGCATCCGCCAGACGTTCACGCTTCCGGCCTCTCCACAGCAAAATGGGATTGCTGAGCGCCGCATTGGCATGGTCATGGATGTCGCTCGCACGTCCATGATCCATGCGGCTGCTCCCCATTTTCTGTGGCCGTTTGCGGTTCAGTACGCGGCGCATCAGATCAACCTTCAGCCCCGGGTCTCCATGCCGGACACCTCCCCCACTCTGAGGTGGACGGGGCAGGTTGGCGATGCGTCTGCGTTTCGTGTCTGGGGATCTCGGGCTTTTGTCCGAGACTTGTCTGCGGACAAGCTGTCCTCCCGTGCTGTTCCCTGCGTCTTCCTTGGCTTCCCCCCTGACGCGCCTGGTTGGCAGTTTTACCACCCCACCTCGCGCCGTATTCTGTCCTCCCAGGACGTCACGTTTGACGAGTCGGTTCCGTACTACCGTCTCTTCCCCTACCGCGCTGCCCCCCTCCCCCCCCCGCCGCTCTTCCTTGCTCCAGGTCCCCCCCCGGTAGACCCCCTCCCCCCTCAGGGTCCTGCTCCTTCAGGTGTGTCTCAGGTAGACCCCCCCCCCTTGGCTGAGCCTTTGGAGGTCACTTCCGACACCTCTGGCCCACCTGAGGGGGGTGACGCTGCTGCTGACGCCCCGGCGGCCTACCGCCGCGCACCACGCTTGGAGACCCCTCCGGGGTTCCCTCCGCGACCTTCTTCGCCGCCTCTGCAGCCGGTTACTGTTGGCTCCGGTGCTGTTGGGGGTGGTGCTCCTGGAGGTGCTGCGTCTGGGGGTGCGGAGTCTGGGGGTGCTGAGCCTGCGCGTGAGGAGACTGGAGGTCCTCCACCTGGGGGTGCTGTGTCTGGGGGTACTGCGCCGGAGTGTGCGGAGTCTGGGGGTGCTGAGTCTGGAGGTGAGACGCTTGAGGGTACTGGGACTGCTGGTGCGCGGCCTACTTGGAGTGGCCGCCTTCGTCCGCGTGTGCCTCTCACCACTCAGCAGCTGCACGACTGGTACGGTCGCCGTCCGCGTCGCGCTGCTGGAGCCCGGAGCTCTGCTGCGCCTGGAGGTGCTGCGCATGGAGGTGCTGCGCCTGGAGGTGCTGTTGCTGGAGACACTGAGGCTGGCGACCCTGGGACTGGAGGTGCTGGTTCTGGGGGTGCTGCTGCTGGAGACACTGAGGCTGGGGACCCTGGGACTGGAGGTGCCGGTTCTGGGGGTGCTGTTGCTGGTGACGCTGGTTCTGGTGGTGCTACCGCTGGAGGTACCGGTTCTGCGACTGGAGCTGCTGGAGCTGCTGGAGGCACTGGAGCTGCTGGAGGTGCTGGAGCTGCTGGTACTGGTGCAGCTGCGCCGACACGACTGTTCTTCGCTCCGCCGTCTCCGTCGTCTCTGCCGCCGCCTGACTCTGCTCTTTGTCAGGTTGTTACTCTCCCGTCGTCTACTGGTCTTCCCTTACAGCCTGGCTCACCGCTGCCTGCTCCCTCTCCTTACACTGAGCAGACAGGTAGTCTTGCTGAGCGTCGTGAGCCTGCGTCGCGTCCTGTCTCGCCTGTTCGTTCTGGTCGTACTGGTCGTCGTGTTTCTCGTTCACGTCAGCCGACTGTCCCCAGTGCACACCTTGTTGTCCGTCGTCCTTCCTCTGCTCCGCAGTCTGTTCCTCTGCCGTCTCCCCCTGCGTCCTCTCTGCCTGACGTTCCGGACCCTGCGTCTGACCGGTTTCGTGCTGAGCACCCTACTGTCACGCGCCTGCTAGCCACTGTTGTCACTGACCCGTCATTTGAGTCTGCTGCTGCGTCTGCCTTGGTCGCTGAGCTTGTTGACTTTGCTGCTGCTTGTCGTCTAGACTACGCTGCCAGTCTTGTTGCTGAATCTGAGTCTGTCTGTCCTCCGTCCGTCGGGGGTGAGTGTGCTCTTGGCACGGACGTCCTTGAGGACAGGCACGAGGACCTGAAGTGTCTTGCGGCCGCTGCGCCCCATCTCGTGGCCATGCTACTTGCCCCTGAGGGAGACCCGGATGCACCAGACATCCCGACCCCGCGCTCTTACGCTGAGGCGATCGCGGGTGAGTACTCCTCTCAGTGGCAGACAGCCATGGACGCAGAGATGGCATCCTGGAAGTCCACTGGCACTTACGTCGACGAGGTTCCCCCTCCTGGGGCGAACATCGTCAGTGGCATGTGGATTTTCAGGGTGAAGCGGCCGCCAGGTTCTCCGCCTGTCTTCAAGGCTCGGTACGTTGCTCGAGGCTTCAGTCAGCGAGAGGGAGTAGACTTCATTTAGACCTTCTCCCCCACCCCGAAGATGACCACTCTTCGGGTGCTGCTGCACGTTGCCGCTCACCGTGACTACGAGCTTCACTCTCTTGACTTCAGCACGGCTTTCTTGCAGGGCAGCCTGCACAAGGAGATCTGGCTGCGCCGCCCCCCGGGCTTCACTGGGTCGTTCCCTCCTGGTACCCAGTGGAGCCTCCGTCGGCCAGTCTACGGTCTCCGCCAGGCGCCACGTAAGTGGCACGACACACTGAGGACTACGCTTGCGGCTCTTGGGTTCGCGCCTTCTACTGCTGACCCGTCGCTGTTTCTGCGCACCGACACTTCACTGCCGCCGTTCTACATCCTAGTGTACGTCGACGACTTGGTTTTTGCCACTGCTGACACTGAGGCTCTCGCC